TGTACGTTATAGTAATTAAACAACGAAAACTTTTATATTCCGTTTCGCTCTCGAATAATAAATAATATTAATAAATAATAATATTGTAACGTGTCGACCTTTATATAATAACTTGCAGCCTATTTACACTTGCCTGTAGGATACGCTTCAGTCAAAGCTTCAACAATTTTAATATTTATAAGTGCTGTTACTCTGCGGTATTCGATATACCTACCACTTGAGACCTGGTATACATGACATAATATGAGCTAAGCGATGCGAATACCTCTAATAATATATTCCATACAGTTTATTCTTCATGTTGTATAACTTATTGTACCTGGGGAATTCGACGATTCGAATGACAATTTAAATTCTAAATGAGCAATATTATAGTCATATAATCCAGATACAAAGTACTGTGAGAAGTCAAAAACCTACGCTTTAAACTTACACACCCATTATATAACGGCCAATGGGACATACAAAAATCGCTATTCAACACTGAAGAATACTACTGTGTACAATATGTTCGAGTATTGCAAGACGATCAATAGTTCTCCTTAAATGTTATGTGCACAAGTGTGGACAAAAGTCTTAAAATTTAAAATAACTTGTAACTGTTAGCTATAACAGGTTTATAGTCTATATAACATACACTTATAATTTGTATTAAACATTTATAATTTCAATTATTTTTAAATTCACGATTTTCTGGTCAAAATTACTGAAAAGTCGTAGGACGGTATGAAAAATTCTAAAATCTTCAAAATAAACAAAACGTGTTTGTTATTGTTTTGTTTATTTAAATTATAATTAAAATATAAGTGTCTTTATTAAACCAACATTCTGTTAAGTGAATCACGTCAAAACGCAGTTGGGTACGTGCTATTCTTAACCAATTTTTCAATGTTAATTTTGCAATCATTTAATTAAAATAGTCAATCTTAATTCATATTTTTGTGTCCATGTTTTAAAAACCTTCAAATTCGTGTTCATTATTATTATTTGTATAATAGCTAGGGTATTAATAAATTATGTATTTAATTTTAAATGTCATCTCTTGCAAACTCAGAAGCCCCTTTAATCCTGCAGAGTATAAAATAAGGCTGTAGTCTGCAATTTGCACCATCTAAAATGACCTATAATTATAAGACATGTAAATCGGACGGTTTTAAAGATTCTTGTTTACTTTGCGGTTTGTACCTATAGAAATCGTCGATGCAGGTTTTTAGCCGATTTTTTTTGTATACGTCTTGATTTGAGCGAACGCACTTCTACTGACGCCGAACGCGGTCTGCAAAGTAAACATTTTCACTTTCGTAAAGCCGGTCTGACGCCATTATCACGTTCTAGTAAAATTTACACCATATACCGATTTCCAATTAAATCGATGATAAACATTATAAGTATTTATATGTAATTTATATAATATTATTACAAAGTTGTAGTAAACCATGGTCCATAGACAACTGAATTTGTTACAGGATTACATAGTACACTGATAAAAAGTATATAAGGCAGAATAACGCAATGCAGAGAAGATACAATTTTTTTTAACCATCAAATTTTTATCCCATGAAAAGAAAAGTAAACACGAATTACTGCAAGTCGATAATTTATGATGTTAATTTTCCCAGTCAATTTTTGTGATCCTGGAAATAGTAATATTTATGCAATATTGTTTCAATTGTGATTTTTTTAATTAATATTTAAATTTCTTAAAATAACTTATTCAAAAAGTAAATGTATACATATTTAATATTCAACATTAATAGTTTCCAATATTGATAAGTATTTTGTTGAATTTATACGAACGGAGTAGTGCAACAAAAACTTTAATAAATTGTGAAGACAAATTGAGATTACGCAACACGATCAACTATGACTTTCGACTCTCCGTGATGAAGTTTGATAGCGTGGGCACGATGAATAAATATTGAAATGTGTGGTTTTTTAACTCTGATACCAAAAAACTATTATTACTATCATAAAAGTACATTTCACTTTCTATTTTCGTCATAAAATAAAAATAAATATATTTATAGAGTATTCATGAAATTCATTACTAGACCTTCACATACCTAAGCGTAGGTAAGCGTACCTTAGCATATTATCATAATAACAAAAATCATTTAACTCTCGGTACTGAGTATAAGGTATAACATTCTATATCGCCGATATAATTCAATATGAAATAAAAATATGGGAACTTCTCTTATGGATTCACATAAATGAATACTATTTTTATAAATATTATGTATTTATAGTTACTATTTTTCATTCAACATAAATGAGATTTAAAAAAAATACAAAATAAAGTATTATATTATGCACATCAGCAAAAACTAACACCAAAACTTCAAAAATAGCACTAAAAATTTAAAAAATTTTGAATATGCAAAAAATAGCATAGTACATTTTCATGTTTGGAGTGCTTGGTGCATAAACAAATTATAAAATTTAAAAATTTATAACTCACTCAGCTATTTTTATCTGTATCCTATAATAATTAGTAAATACTAAGAAATCTGAGTCCTAGAAACACATAGGTATAGCGAATTTGAGTTAAAATCATTTGAGAGGAAGTAGTATTTGGAATCAAATTTGTATAATATTCTCATTGTATAATTGCTTTTAGGGCAGTATAAAAGTTCTGCAATGGTCGTTTTTAAATCGATCCCCTTGTGTAAAATTATTCAAATCGAGCGAAAAGTTATTTCGCGTTGTACAATAACATAATATTATGTGGGTAAAATGAATACGTTAGCAAACGATTTAAAGTAAGCTATAGGTGTTTATTGTGTATGTGTAGGTAGGTGGGTGGCAGGTAAGACGCGGGCAGATCTGGCGGGTAGGCAGGGGCTGCTGCAAGTCGCGTCACACGTTTATTTAATACACTTTTGTCCAACTTTCTGGTCGTAAGTCAATCAAAATTCAACGGTCGTCTTCGCAGAAAAGTGTGCACGTGACATTTCTGCACTAACTTGATTTCCGACGAATTTCATTGTTGCGAAATACATTAAAACTTTGGTAGATACCTATATACTGTATATATACAATATACTAGACGTATAATCCAAGGCACGATGAGAGCTGCAAACAGGAGTTATTAGTTTAACATTTGTTGAGTGCGTAAGACTATTTCTGAAATTGCACCAGTCGAACTCTTAATGTATTATATTATATATTATGCTATACGCGTGTAAGTGGGTATACTGCGCGCGAAAGTATGTTATTATTTGTAATATTACAATTATAATGACGGATCTTCGCCTTTGAAAATTTAGTGTCAGTTAAAATCTGTCACTGGTTAGTTATGTCTTACCATACAAGTATAAGGTATACTTTGTGTGATTAATTTTAACTGACATCGGGGCGAAACTAAAACAAAATAAGTACCTATCTATGTACATATGTATTTATATTATAATACACGTGGATTGTCATGGTTGAAGCCGCACACTATGGTATTATAATGACTAACAATACTAATGTAACATACGTTAATCCATTAACTTGTAAAAAAAAGAAACAGTCACGTTATGTTGAATACCAAAAATATGTGTACTCGTATATTGTCCTAACCATACGTGCCAAAGAAAAAAACTGTTTAAATTTAAATTAACCGACTTACTTATTATTTATTACATCATGTCATTTAAAAACCCAACAAAACATATAAATCTCAAAAATCATTAATCACAAACACAAAACCTACTTCTAAAATGTCCATAGATTTTTGTGAAAAGTTTATGAGATGCTTAATCCATAATAAATTACTAAAATTAATATCGGTGCTTCGATACAGTTATAATTAATAACGTATAAAAAATGTTTCATAAATTAAACCTCTAGGTATAATTTGCATACTAATTTACTGTTGAACGTAAGTGTACTATGCTTAAATAGATTAATTTCTTTTTCAAACTCAGTGATTTTAATTTCCAGTTATAGTGAGAAGGTATTTTAACTTTTACATCTAATCTAAAAAAACTAATTAAATAATAAGCACTCATAACAATAATTATATAATGTATATCAAACAAAGTTTGTGTTTTTTCCTAAGATGGCGGGGCAAACATGTCTAAATAAATGAGAGGGTTGAAATGGTTTAAAAACTTTAAGTGGAACTTTTATAGTAATGTTTTGCAAGTTCGGTGGTTGATAAAAATTCGTGTATCATGTGAAAAGTGGAACATAATGTAAAGTAAAGTAACATAAAGTTATGATTTAAAAGACTTGTGTAGGATGCATATTTAGAAATATTTACTAACTTGGCCACCCTAGTCCCATGAATGTAAATATTTTTATTTTTGAGATTAAATTTGTGTTCAGATTTAAATTGGCAAGAAAAATTGAAGACGAGAATTCAGTGGCTTGCGATTTTATTGGTATGGTTTGACCAGGTAAATATTATATCTAGTATGATACTTAGGTATTTTATCGATGGCAACAATAGAATTCTATTTTTATTTAAGTCGAGTGAAGGACATTCATTTGTTTTTAAAGAAAAGTTTACCTATAAGCAGAATTTGCAAAAACATTAGTGTTTTTGATTTTCCGGTGTTTTGTCTTGAGTTGAGTAGTATGGGGTGGTACTGGTACAATACCGAACTGGACTTGTCGTCAAAAAAATGTGGACCTCGGCATTGGGTTGTCAAATGCAAAACAGAAAACGAAATTATAATTTTTCTGTCCCGTGACATTTCGTTTGACAAGATTGTTCTTCGATATTATATATATCAATGTGTTATATACCTCGAATTTATGATGTATAATACACTTCTGATATTACTGCGGGCTTAGGCCACGGTCGGCCGTCAGTGGCGGGGCACCTTCAAGGTCGTCTCGTCCGCAAGAAAGTGAGAGTAGGTACAAGACGTATGCCATTGTATTATTATATCGTCGTATAGGTACATATATATAGGTATATAATATACGTATATGGTATATACCACGGCTACAATACCATCAATATTACGCGGCTACCGGTGCCTAGCGCGTGCACGTCCGCTTTTACTCGCGTCCGGTCCGCTGGCGGGTGCACTTTCTTTCCGCCGCCGCCGTCTCAGTGGAAGCGGCACGCAGTACGACGCTATAACTCGGTTTAGTGCGCGCACGGTCGCGACGTCGTATAGGAGGTAACCACTTACCGCGGTGTGTAATACGCGCGACGCGTCTGGAACATCGTCACATCGCTCGGACGGCCGCTCGTCGCACTCGCTAACGTGTACGCGCCCGATCGCTACCGAACGCTCCGTCTATCGCTCGCTCGTTCGGACGGACGGACCACCGCGGCCACCGCGCGTTTATGGTGCTCGGCCGCCGTCGACGATGCGGTCGCAGCAGCTGCAGCAGATGGTGGTGCACGTGTGCATGCTGACCGCCGCCGTCGCCGCCTCAACCGTTGGCCACGATTCGGCCACCGCTTCGGCGTCCGCGTCCACGGTAAGCTTTTGGGGGGTGAGCTCAGTAAACCACGAAACGCCACAAACCGTCCACAGTGTCTCGCCGATACACAAAATTGAAAAATTAAAATATAATAATCGTGTCTCGGCGTCTTCGTTGTCGTTCTCTCTTATTATGTCTGGTTCGAGACTGGGCCGGCGCGTTACATTTCTGTGGTAAAAGTAGCTCTGCCGAGAAAGGAAGAAACACATACGTCGCGTGCGTATGAAAACGAAAATGACAACGACAAAAATGAAACGTTTCGACTTGACGTAAAAATGTGTGCTTAAAATAACTTTCCGCTAGCTATTATTATCATCGTTACACGTGTATTTTAATGATTGCAATCCGATGTCTCGTGCCCACCCAACTAACTGACCTACCTATAATGTAATGTGTACAGGTTTTATCGGGATGATCTTTAAATCTCATTTTAACGCTTCACAGCTTCGTGGTTTACCCAGTCAATGTACCTATGTGTGTGTGTGTGTGTGTTGATAGCTTACACTTTCTTTCCGCAGGACAACGACGAGGACGGCACGTCCAGACCCGACAGACAGGGTGATAAGCGAATATTCTTTGACGACATATTCGGTTCCGTCAGCTACGAGCCCGAGGAGAAGTTACCCGTGTCCAACTGCACTTGCAGTGAGTGCATAATATATTATATTGTATTTTTATTATATACCAGCGGATAACGGATTATTAGTTGTTGCGAGACTATAACCCGACACAATAAACATCAATATTATTATTGTGTCGAGATTCTATTGAGGACGCCGTTCGACCTAATTACCGATTTTCGGACTCGTTTCGGAAATAACATCCATACCGGTTACAGTGGCGCTAGTGCGCTACACGGTTTTCGGATGAGAATGGAAATACATAATACGATGATACGAGTATTATATTACACTTTTACCGTCGCGACGAAACGTGAGTTTAGGTAAGGTTATAATTCGTAACGGAAAGCGTTCGAAATACTTCCTGACAAGACCGTTTCTTTCACGCATATACAACACAATGTGTATAAAATCAGTTTTATTTAATCTACACCGACACTTGTATTATAATATATCGTTTAATAATATCACACGTCACTATCTCCCACGTCGAGTGACGTTAATAAATTTAAATTATTAGACACACATACATTCATCAAATGGGCTTTTCATTCGGTATTCGTTGCCTTTTTTTCAACCTTTTATATTATGTGCATATTACATTTTTGTTTCGGATCGATACATAGACTTCACTAGTAAAACATAGATCGTTGTCAAATGAAACCCTCTACAGACACCAGTTGATTGGATTGTATAACCAATGACGCATATCAATGACAACCATGGTTTAAAAAGTGCCGTAAAAAAAACTTATTAAAAATCTATTCATCGTACTTGATGTATAGCGATCTTTAATATTGTTTCGAATCGTTCAACATTTAAAAAATTTGTTTTGTGTATAGATTGTGGAGTACCGAATCAAGAAATCCGCATTGTGGGTGGTCGCCCCACTGGGGTGCACAAGTACCCATGGGTAGCGAAACTCATGTACGAAAGCCACTTCCACTGCGGCGGATCACTCATCAACAGCGATTATGTGCTGACCGCAGCTCACTGCGTCCGGAAGTGAGTGCATATTAATTTTGTTTAGTACTATGTATTTAAAAAGGTTTAAACTCATAATAACTTAACGTTTATTTATTAATTTTGATTATAATCTGTAATACAAAATATGAGATACTAAGCTATGACTGTTTATACTGGTTTGATCGAAATCTGGAGACATTTGAATGTATTTTCTTTTATTATTGTACTATAAACCGCAATACTAGCTACCCAGTAGGTGAAAATTAGTTAAATTGAATGCTCATTTTCATATCTGGAAAAGTGAGGATATTGCACTACACTACACTACACTATACCTACCAATTTCAATATATTTATAATAATAGGTATGATTTATCGACAATAATAAGTGACAACCGCCGATTGCTATATATTATAATTGCTTATATTTTTTTATCAATCTTTTGCTTCCACTTTGGCTATGGTTAATTAAAAAAATAACTATCTAGTGAATGATAAAATATAAGCATACATTTGTATTTGTGTCTGTGAATGTTAGGCTCAGATAGGTATTGCAAGGTGGAGAGAGTTACTATAAAATGACAGTGGCGTAATGAGAAAACCAATAAAATAATCTGTTAAAATAATCACATAATTCAGTCAGAAAAATGGTTTGAGTAGGTAATATGTTATAATTACCAAAGCATTATTCTAATAAAAAAAAAAAAATTAACTGAGAGTTTAACGTTCCCGGAAGTTTTGAGATTCATTATAGCGTATAGCGTATTGTGTTTAAAAGATCTAAAAGGGATATGAGGAAATATATTTTAAAAGTATAGAACCCTGCAAGCTCCGAGTTATGGTAATTTACTAAGTAATTTATTTTGAATAAATAGTCGCATGTGTACATATTATAAGAGTGTACGAAAGAGAGAGAGACCTGTTGCCGTTTTCATAAACGCGTAACTAGTGGGTCTATATAGAAAGTTTTAAAACCCTCAATTCGTAGTACAGCGGTGACCGCGCGATGGTCGTTAGTATTTAATTACGATATTATCATAATACTTTATAGGTAGTAACTAGTTGTATGTACACGCTGTACGATTAAAAATTAATTTTTAATTGCGAACAATCGATTATCGATATATTATACCGTCCTCGAATGCCTCATCGTCGTTATGATACTAGCAGTACGCGGCACAAGCCACGAATTTGGGGTTTCCTAACTTTCTATACACTCATAGACATTGCCATTTCAGAAGCTACGGGTACTATTTATGTATAATATGTCAGCGTACGCGTTTTGTAAATACATCATGAATCTATACTACATGCAACGCATGACACCGATCCATCATTATTATTATTACTATCATCATTATTATTGTTCGTCTCTGATTTCGGAACAACCGTTATTGTAATAATAATAGGCACCCACGTTATAATTTTATACCGTAAAAACGAATCCACCGACCACCGCGCAGTAAAAATCACTCGAAAAACCGCAAATTCTTGAGGTCAGATATGTATATAAGTACTAGGTGTGTATTGCAGCATATGGAGTGATTCATTTAAGAGTAGTCAACAATAATTGTCAAAAATGTTCTTAATCAATTTTTGTTCAATTTTTCAATTGGACGTTTTGGGAATTTTCAAATTTTATTTTTTCAAGCTTTATTTTTAATTTTATAATCTGAAACAAAATTAAACTCAATTCACTGAGACTTAAGTTATATTGTTAATACTTTCCGAAAGTCAAAATAAGTCTGAGGAAATTATTTTGTTTCAGAGTTTTATCAAATCGCCATTGTAAAGACTTTTAAATTGCATAAAAATATAGAGTCAATAATAATACTTACTTATTGTATCTACGTACTTCAATAACTACGTGCATACCAGAAACATGTAAATTGACTATGAAAATTATTATCAATCGGGCCAATTATGCGGATCACTCCATATGTGTGTAGATTATGTACCAGTGGTATACGTTGACCGTCCGATTACGGTGTATACCCGTATAGGTAACCGTATGTATAATATAATACTTAAAGCGTAAAACCATATAGTATGTACATTGTACCTGTTGCATTTCCACCGTCGATTCGCACCGTCATTATATTTTATATACGTTTATTTGTATTATACTATATTTGAATTCTCCGTCGCCGTGCCGAGAGATTTCGTCCTAAATTGTTGTTGCTTTACCAGCGTGGAGTAAACAACGAGGTTATAATATACATCCGATAGATATGATAGCCACGGTACCTATATACGCACGCGTATAATAACTTTCCATTGCGAAATTATTCATAAAAACAATTTCGAATACGCGAAACGTACACATTTTCATTTCACGAACACACATGAAACGCGAACATCGTTTACACACACGTCAAGTGAGTGGTGTACTGGTGTGTGTGTGTTTGTCAATTAAAATTAAAAAACGTACCTACGACTGTAGGTAAGTTGTACATCATGACAACGATTGCAATCGGAATATTTTCTATGATAAAACGTTTTAACGATTGTTGCATAATAATGCATAATAGTATTAATATAATATTGTGCATAATGTTAGGTCACGAGTACAATAGGTAATTAAAAATGTAGTTACATACCATTGAATTTAAATATCGTACGTTTGATGTGCTTTTATCGATGTAAAAATCGCGTTCTGTTAAATATTTACTTTTTTCACTCTTACTCGTTCTCGTTATGAAGCATAATATATAGGTAATATATAAAATATACATATAAATGTAGGCAGCGTGATTTCGAGTTTGTACCAGTTATTGTTAATCGAGGACTTGGAGAAAGTTAAACACATATGAATATACTTGTTTTCGTATTATAACGATAAACGGGCGCTATCGAGTCTGATTAAGATCCATGCATTTTAAGAAAGAAAAAAATACTTCTATTTTCCTCTGGACTACAGTTTACTAGGAATAATAGAATATAGGTACAGCTAGTTGTCTACACACGCATTAACGTCGTTATAACCGCAGCATAATATTATTATATGATATATTATATTAGCATACTATTATACTTGGTGATTCAGCGTTTTATCCTTTCTCGTCAAGTTATACATATATATATATATATATTATCATCTTTTAACTAGCTGCAATAACGACTGTATAATATAATATTAACGAACGGTGTTTATAGATTGAAAAAATCTCGTATACGTGTGATATTCGGCGATCACGACCAGAGCACGACGACCGACGGTGAAACCATCACCAGGATGGTGTCTTCGATCGTGCGTCATCGGAACTTTGACGTGAACTCGTACAACCACGACGTGGCTCTGTTGCGGCTGCGAAAGGCAGTACCGTTTACCAAATCGGTGAGGCCGATATGTTTGCCGTCAGCTAGTAAGTATACATGATATTATACAATGTAACCAAGTGGACTACGACAAATATAGAGGGTCTAACAATGAACTTTGAAAGTTCCACACTTCTTTTCTTTTCGTCTTCTACCGCGTTATTGCAGCCCACCGAAAATTATAATCCTGCTGTGAAGGCTTTTAATGATTTTATAGATTTCAGTTGATAACTATTTTCGTAGTCGAAAACTACACGGTTTAGAATGTCCAAAATTTTATTATCACCTAACGTCTTAGAGTAAAAGATATTTATTTTTTAAATATTTCAATACATTAAAACCCAAAAACTGAAGAAAAATACCCTATCTACCCCTAACCAGCAAACTGGTGCAGGGCCTACTCGATTTTCAAAATGTTTCAAAAATAGCACAGGTTTTCTTAAGGTTAGGTCCTAGTCTCAGCGATGTATTTTTCTTAACACAATTTTAAAACCGTTTTCACAAAAACGATAACTAATTTGCATAGAAGAGACGTGAAAAATCACGAAAGAATGACTTTCCAAACTCCTATCGCCAGCACATCATTTAACCATCGTTATTTTATATGTAGCCCGCGAACCGTCCGGAAAACTGGGAACCGTGGTCGGCTGGGGCCGAGTGTCGGAAGGTGGAAATCTGGCAGACGTTGTGCAAGAAGTTCAAGTGCCGATCCTGTCACTGGCGCAGTGCAGGGCTTCAAAATACCGACCACAGAGGATCACCGGCAATATGATTTGCGCCGGAAAGGGAATCGAGGACTCTTGTCAGGTTCGTTATTTTAGTTTCATAATCTAATTATGACCTCTGGTTTGTTAAAAATGCAATTCCTACTACAGCTCAGCTGCTACTTGCTGTCACTGTCATGTATAAATACACTCAAATAAATAATATTCTATGGATTTTTTTTTAAATCGCAGTTATCGCTGTTACCTACTATATTGATTTACTGTATTATTCCGGTTTGGCGATTTCAGTCCGTGGTCCCGAGAATGAGACGTGCACTTCCGACGAACCATGATTCATATAAAATTATACACCACTAGCACGGTCATAATACCTATATTCTATATCGTTATAATTACAATTTCCAATCTCAATGTACTTCTGCAACAGAAACACCCTGAAATTTTCCCGAAATAGCGACCCGGAAACTTTCCAATGTACACCTGCGTCGTGATACGCGTCATCGTCATGACGTAATATATTCCAGTTGATTACTCTACATATTTGTATCTATCACTACCACTGTTTTATATTATGTACTTCTTAAGTGGAAGTCTGAATGTGTTTGAAACTCTTTTAGGACGCGAAGAAAAAATTAAATCATTATTATTTATTTTGTACAAGAAGCCGACAATTTTTAAAAGCCCACTCGCGTCGCCCACCATTCTATATAAGCATATTCCATAATTGATTTTTGTCGTTGCAGGGTGACAGTGGAGGTCCTTTGTTGATAAACAGCGAAGCGGACGACAAGTTGGAAATAGTTGGTGAGTATAATATTAATATAATATTATTCGTCGATAAAATAACCGCAATGGTACAAAGGTTATTTTTTTTGACAGTAACCATTAGTTTTCTCCGAAAATATGAACTTTTTGAAATATTTTTTTCACGTGATCTGACGTCATTAAAAATAACTATAAAAAGGACATATATTTAGTAGGTACCTATTTATTATCGATGTAATTTTTTTTAAGTATTTAATGTTTTGTAATAATGACAGTGTACATTTTTTAATTCTGTATCAAAGCAAACTATTTATCTGCAAATTTCGATGTAAGTATATACTTATAAATAATGTCCAACTAGTAGGTACTAAATATGCACCTACCTACTACCTACCTATAGTACGTAGTTAATTTGTATAAGTATCACAACATTAAATTATTTAATTTCCGATACTAAAATTTTAAATGATACAATTTTTATTTGGTGTGACTTCTAGTTATGTAAAAAAATATTTCCTAAAACTTTTATACTTTTTGAGATGACAAGTGTTCACTGTTCAATGATTCGCTGATATAAAACTGTAGACTACAATATTGAATTCGGTCAAACAATCTGTTAGGTACCTTTCTGTATTCGTGTGTTTGTTGTAATTTTTCATAACGTCATTTTTTCAGGCATCGTGTCCTGGGGTGTCGGCTGCGGTAGACCCGGTTACCCGGGAGTGTATACCAGAGTTACCAAATACCTGGATTGGATTCAAAAGAATATGAGAGACACCTGCGCTTGCATCAGATAGCGGGCCGGAATTCCAGTACAACAGTTACATGTTAATAACAAAATATAATATATAAGTATATGCGAATATTAAATGTATTGTACATATATTATTACTTATCTAAGTCCTTAAATTATATTATTTATTTGATCTTGTATTTTTTATTTTTTTTTTTATTTTTACACTACATTTTGTGTCTAAAAATATATACTCAATATACGTTTTGTTTGGAGAAGAAAAAACTCGAATAAAAGGTTATATAAAACTGTATAATACTATAATATATAATACACACATCATCGTGCGAGCCGTCTATTATTTTATTTCTACTCGTACATAACCGTCTGCTGACAAAAAACGTCACCGCCGCCGTCTCACTTTCAAGTTTCGGCGATATAATAGTAAAATATGACGAACAATGTACAATCGGTATTATACTATTTCGGTAGGTGTACAATAACATAGGTACAGCTCTGCGATATCACGGCGTGTTCGCGTAGCATATAAGACGTACACATTACCTACTCGTTGCTCGTCGTCATCGTTTCCGTCGTTCATATTTTCTTCGTCTTCTTCTTTCACCGTCTCGCGGACCGCTGTGTACCTATGTGCGAATACAATAACGCATGACAGGTACTTCCGTCAGACGCATTTTTGAAATTCCTCATAAAATGCACACAACGTGTCTATTAGCCTCGCGGACGCATTACGCAATCCGAACACGTTTTAATAATACACACACGCACACACACACATATGTATAAATATATATTTACTGGACCTGGCGGTCGGTCTTGAATTGGCGTGTAGAAAAGTGGATTCCCGTTTGT